CACTGCCATTTGCACCATTTTTGAAAAGTGGGCGGGGCTTCTTCAAAGTGGGCGGAGCCTCTCACAGTGGGCGGGGCTTCATGGAGCAGTCCAAAAATGCAAAAATTTTGAAAAATATCAAAATTCCGCAAAAAGCAAGTGGGCGTGGCCAAGGGGGCGGAGCCTGAATTGCCAGCGCATGAATGCGCGGGTACGAGTATCTTCGTTGTGCAAAGAGTGGATGTGAAATTAAAAAGTTGAAAAAGTTATGAAATTTCGAAGTTCGCAACAAACCCTCTAAAAACATAATACAACACAACAAGAATGGCGGAGTCGGCCATGTGTCGATGTGTTGAAAATCTATGTCCGCGCTGACAAGTAGGCGTGACCGTCGGGGCGGGGCTCGCAGTGGTGTCTGGCGTGATCTGGTTGGTGAACTGCCCGGTCTAAAAAGAGTGGTGAATTTGGTTTGAAAAGTGGTGAATTTAAAGTGAAAATGGTATATCATGTTGTCCGCGTTGACCGTGTTGTGTTGCATCCCTTATCGCTCATATTTAGGGTGAGGCAGTATGTCTAGACCGTTGTGTTGCGAAGTATCTGGACGTTCATGAAAAATTAGGAAAACGATTGACGGCTATGTCCCAAGGTGACGAGGCAGCTCTTCAGAAATTACACGAGAATAAATAAGCTTATCCCCTAGTGATCTCGTTTTTACATACTCAGTCCTCATTCCAACGATGATCAACTAAATCTTTTTCACTAAGCAGTCAATGCTCAGTGTCTTGATTGTTATAGGTTTTGAATAGCGTTTCAGTAGGTTGTCACACTTGTGTGGCATTGTTTCAGGTTAGGATATTTTGTTATGAAAGTTTTAAGATTCTGTTTGTTATTGGTGAGAAAAGTGCTGGTTTGCTGGTTTTTCTTACAACTTTATCACTCTCTGTTGAATAAAGAAAAACTCGTTTTTTTGGAAGTGTGTGGAGAGAAGTGCATAGTGGCGTTGTCTCATTATGTGCTGAAATAGCACTCTCCTGGCAGATTTGCGTGAATAAAGTATGTAGAAGCTTCAAGGCTTCTATTAGAACTTCCACCTTAAAGGCGAAATAAAATAAGGGTGTGATCTCTCAAATGTGTCAGATGATCCGGAAGGCGATTCGGAGGGTGTGCCAGTTTCAAAAAGTGGAAATTGGCAAGAATCTCGCTGGAAGCTGACCAAATGGGCCCATGAGCACCCGTAGGCCCATACCGACCCCCACTGGCTGCTAACAATTAGCTGGTAGCCACTATGCTATGTTTCTCCATTTCGAATGGTGAGAGTAAGGTGATGAATAAAAGAGCTGATATCGTTTATGATAACGACGAGTGGAAATTCGTACAAACACGCTTTTCTTCATTGCATGCACGTACAAGTTGGGGTCGGCATGAAGTCCTATTTAGGGCATTTTGGACTGCTTTTTCTGCTTCTTTTCTCCACTAATCAATTACCTAGCACTTTGTCGTTCGTATTTGAGTTCCGTTACCAGCGATCTATGGTCGCATGCTTTGCCTTTAAGATAGTGGTGTACAGATGGTCAGTGATAAGCTGCAGGGGTACATATAAGTGGCTAGGACGAACCGAAATTCAGTCATGAGTACAAGTCAACTAGAAAAAGGAATAGACATGAAAAGAAAAACTACTACAAAAGAGCAACGGTCTGTTCCGTCCCTGGCCAGACCCTGGTTTAGGCACCACATTATAGACAGTTCCCGCGATCGCGTAACATGGACAGTGGGTATTTAAGTATGAACCAGTAGCTTATAAGTGATTCCCCAAAGAAGAAAAAAAGCAAAAAGAATCTCCAGTAAACCATGGACAAAGTCGCTCCCTGGCAGTCACACACCCTCATTGTACGAGTTCGCCGGACTTACTGGTCACCCGACGCCCAGCGGTCTCTGTGCAACCACTGGCTCACAAAATGCTTTTTGGCATCCTTCAGTACTACTGGGTTGGGGAATAAGTTCGTTCGATTTTCTCAAAGAGCTTTATTTAAATGATTTGTTTGTTGTTTGGCAAAGTGTTTGCATTCAATAGAAAGTGCTTTTTCTGCTCTACAAAAGCATGTTATTTGTTTGTTAGTATAATTTC